GTCAATCAGATCACATTATATCCATTCCTGAAACCCTCCACAGATCTCCCTTTGCACTTGAAATAAATCAAAACCCTTGGCTTGTCCATAAATCCTAACATAAGTTACCCCTTTTGATCTCTCTAGCCTCTTCTCATTCCGCCTGTCCCTCTAACTCACAGCACTTCAATCAAACTAGCCTCTTTTCCTCGAGCTCAACAAATTCGTTGTTGCTATTGGATCTCTGCACATGCTATTTTTTCTGCCTTTTCCCCCAGATCTTCATAGAACTGGCTCCTTAGCCATTGGTCTCAGATCACATATCCCATCCTTAGAATTGTCATTCTAGCCATCATAGTTAAAACATCCTTTCTATCTCCCATCACTGTCTATTCCATTTCTCTGTTTTATTGTCTTTACAGTTAATTTATTATCATCCTAATTTATTTTATTTGTTTATTTCATCTGCCTTCGCCCCTCAAAAATGTAAATTCTTAACTATCTTGTTTACCACTGTACCTAGCATGGTATGGTAGGTACTTAATAAATAATTGGGTGGATAAACAGTGGATTCTTTTTATGCAGGTGTACTCCTCTTATATTGTTGCTTTTGTACCATAGCTGACTACAACTTTTTTTTCATAAATAAAACATATGTTGATCCTGGATTTAAAATAGTGGTTATTTTTTTCTTTTAAATTTTTTGACATTATGCTTCTTGTTATTATTTGGACATAAATTTCAAAAAGTCCTGTTCACTTATAAATCCCATGGGTCATAATCATTCAAGGTAATAGAAATGGAGCACACTTACAATATGTTGAGGAGTTAAAGTCCCAAGAGATGTTGTGGAAATAGCAAAATTACTCAGAAACCATAACATACATTGCTACCCACTACCTCTTATATGTAAGTATATGATACACTGAACTAGTTCCTTAAATAGACCCTAGAGAGATGTCTTTCCAAGTGACTGCCAGTCTTCCCTATTCCAGTTTGCAAGAGCGTGCCTTATAACAATGCATTTTTAATTTCCTATTCCCTTCTGTGTAGCACCCACATTGCTAGGGTATTTTATTGACTATCATCATCTATATGGTCTCTTGTTCTGCAAGGCACAGCCTGCAACTTTGTGATTCATTTTCTCATTTTATGGGGCCTTTCTAAAGGAATTATAATCTGCCTCCAAGTTCCTTCTTATCACTTCTACTCTATAAGCACAAGAATTATGGAATATTGTTAGATAGTGTTTTCTAATCAGGGCTGAATCAGGGGAAACTACAACTGTCCCATGCCTGCTCTTCTGGAAATTTACTGTACACCCTTTTCCTCTAATGGAAAAGTACAGCAGATCTCTTTTATAGACATAGACCTAACATATCCAAGAGCTCTTATAGCGTATTAAACTTTCTGATCCCCCAACTCAACCCTCTCCAGTTGCCATACCCACATAAAGTTCTTCATTACCTAACTTAGCTAAAGGATAATAATTATTTATTTATTATGTAATTGTACTTATATATTCTAAAACTTGGATTCAAAGTAAAATTTAGTTGTTTATTCTTTTAGCTTTCATTAAGTGGGGTCATTATCCTTTTATGTTTATAGTTACAGAAGGTTGACTTAAATTTTTATTTAAATCTTTAAATTTTGTTTTTGCTCTGGTTAGCTCCTGAAGCTTTCTTAGCAACTAATCAGCCTAAGTAGTTCTGAAATGACCATCTGCCTTCTGCCCTTTTATTTTATCTGAACTTAAGGAGAATGAAAAGAACTCTTTAGATTTATATCATATACATGCTGTGTGTCTGTAGCATCTCTTCTTCTAGGCCCAGTAAAACACTTGTATGTAAATCCACATTAACTACCACATCTCCATGCTATTCCTTCAGCTTATATTCTGCCAGGAGGGCAGGATTATAGCTAAAGATATATCATTGTAACACCACTATTCCTTTTACTAACAAATTGTTAGTCGGTCTGATCATACTAAATTTGATGTCGGGTGTATGCTTAGATTATCCCAGAGGACACGTGGATATTTCTTCAGTGTTCTACCGGAAGACTGTGATTTTTATCACTCTTTACTAACAGTAGGGAAAATGTGGTCCACCATCATGGGAATTTGCACAGTTGTCACTCCCAGAGATTATACCTTCTAAGTATGTCTTTAAAAAAATAATGACTCTGTATAATTCTTGTCCCTTGAGATTTCATGTTCCATTGTGTCTTAAAGTTTAAAATTTATTATAAGGCCTGCATTTGCAAATAACATACATACCTGTTTCAGTAATACCTGTGGTTTATATTATCCATCAGCCTTGATAAACCGGCTATCTTATAAACTGAAAGTGAAGCATTGTTTGAAATATATGTTTTAGAGATAACAGTAAGTTAGTTTTTGATGATTGGAAAGTAAATTACAACTTTCCCTGTAAAAAATGTAATATTAACAGTTGAAACATATTTGCATTTCTAGAGCCTTTCTTTGAACCCTTATTGTATAATCCTATCCGTATATAAAAAGGTAATATCCTCTTTTTTCTAGGGGATATTAATGCCCACACTGCTTAAGTGAGTTGCCCAAGGTCACTCGGTGAGCTGTTGGTGGAGCCAGAAATAGAATCCAAGTCTCCTAACTCCCAGTTCAGTCCTCTACCCTCCATGTAGTTTTCTATCCTCTATACCCCTGCTGCCTCTCATGGGAAAAGAAGTTAATCTTCCAGCTATTAATAGCCACCAAATTGGTGGTAGCAGCACAGTGGAGAAAAGTAACTGTCTTTACACTGCAGCATTAGTATAAAAATATCTGGTAATGGAAAATTTGACAAATGTCATGTTAAAGGGAGTGGAAAATTATTTTAAGATCTGGATCTCATTTATCTAGTTCTCAGAAAAGTAAAATTCCTTAGTAGAACAGGGATCATATTTTTCTTCTGTTTTTAAATTTTGTTTCCTAGAGGGTAATTGTCAACCAGCCATAGCATAACATGTTGTCAACTAATATAATAAGAATAGTGCATGTACTGTTGCTGATTGCTTTAAGTGTATTTTCTAACTTGGTTGAAAGTTTGAATAGCTTTATTCAAATGCGTAACACTTATCTTATTCTGCTTTGAATGTTCTTTAAGTTAGTATTATATAGTATAGTAAAGATCAACTGGGAATTTTACTTCATGATTAGACAACATGAATGGAAATACACATTATAGTTTCTTCCATTGACAGTACACTCCAAGCAAAGGTATTCCATGTCAGACACCATGAAGTTCACCAGAATAGAGTAGGTAAAGTAGAAAAAAGTTAATTGAAAAATATAAGATAATCACACTGAAGTTGATCACGTGTATTGTTACATATGTCATTATTTGGGGCATTGATAAAAGGTGTTTGCCAGATGTTTGTGTTTTTAAATGTTAAGCATTAAATATTAAATCTAGTATTGTGGGGTAATAAGTTCTAATGAAACAATTTGTTTCTTAATTTTGGACCAAGGACCAAGAATTCCCCAACTAAAAATATCAGCATATTTTGTTTCTATTTAAAGATTACTAAAAAGTCTTTAATAAGAAGGATAATATGAACAGAATTATGTTTTAACTATAAGGAGAAAAAAGACAGAATTGGTAGAGATTGGGAAATCAAGGGAAAAGGAAAAGGTTAAAAAAAAATGTAGTAATTTGGAACCCAGGTGACAGAGAAGGTAAATGGTAAAAGGATAATTAGAAATATGAGAAACAGTATAGAACAAGACACCTAGAGGGTCAAGTACAGCTCCTTAGGGAAATGTGTACACTTACTGGATGGAAGAAGAATAACAACACAGATGTTAGAATAGTACAGATATAATTTTGAAAAGCTACAGGAGTTGTCAGATAAGGCTGAGAAAGATCATCAGAGTTGGTGACATTTTGACATTTGGGAGACTGACTTCACCAGAGTGATGAGAGTGAAAGTACTCTGAACTCTTTGAATTATTTCATTTATCTTTAGTATTAAATCTTGTTTTTGCAAACCTCTGAGTTATGTATGATATAGGAGACAAATAGTTAACTAGAATGCTTAATTGACTACAGTTTTTATCTCAATATCCTGGGGACAGGCAAGTTGATTCCAGGAACCCTCCCAGATACCAAAATCCATGGATACCCAAGTCCCTTACATAAAATGGCGTAGTATATAGCCTACACTTATCCTTCTGTGTACTTTAAATCATCTCTAGATTACTTATAATGCCTAGTACAATAAAAATGCCATTAAATGGTTGTTATACTGTATATTTTTTATTGTTTATTATTTTGGTTTATTTGTTTGTTTGTTTTGTGAATATTTTCAGTCTCTGGTGAGTTGAATCCACAGATGCAAAATCTGCAGCTACCTAGGGTCAACTGTGTATACCTGACACTGTAACAGAAACAATGCTTTCATTCACCCAGAATTTTACTGGTTATTGCCATTCTTGTTCATTTAAACTAGACTTCCACTCAATTAGTAATAAACTGATCACTGACACCCAAACCCTAGCATCACCAAGTATACTCATGTAACAAACCTACACATGTACGCGCAAATCTAAAAAACAAAACAAAAGTAATAAACTGGTAATATTTTACAATGGAACAAGTGTTAACCTCTGTGCCTATAAAAGTTTACTACTGTTTTCATCTTAAACGCAAATCAAACGTGAAAGCTAGAAATTGTGAATTTTCTTGGAATTGATTAGTAATTTGTTTCCAAATTACCTAATATCTCAAGAAAGCTATACCTAAAAATTAATATTGATATTAGCAATGTATTCATTTGCTGTTATAGAATTTCTTTATAATGAGTTTATCTTTATTTAAAGTTTTTAGCAGTAAACTGTTACATTTTCCTTTCCAACTTATATTTTTCAGATTTTTGTCAATTGGCATAAAAATACCTTATTATTCAAGTTGGTTCATTTTAAAAGTAATGGGGGTTATTTAAAAAAAAAAAAAAAAAACTAGGAAACATTATTGAGTGTCTTTAATTTTTTTGAATAGGCTCATCTTCAAGTGGATCTAATCTGGTTAAGACTCCCACACAAAAAAGAACTCGGAGAAAACTAATGCCATCTCCCTTGAAAGGACAGCATACTCTAAAGTCTCCACCATCTCAAAGTGTGCAACTCAATGATTCTCTTAGCAAAGAACTTCAGCCTATTGTGTATACACCAGAAGACTGTAGAAGAACTTTTCAAAATCCGTCTACAGTAACCTTAATAAAACCATCATCGTTTACTACAAGTTTTCAGGCTATCAGCTCAAATATAAATAGTGATAATTCTCAGAAAACGTGTGAAGTAGCTATCCCTCATAACAGAAGAAAGGAATGTGGACAGGAGGACTTGGACTCTACATTTACTATATGTGAAGACATCAAGAGCTTGAAGTGTAAATTACCCAAACAAGAATCACTACCAAATGATAACAAAGACATTTTACAACGGTACAAAAAAATAATATTTGCCAATTCTTTTTTTTTTTAAATAGACTTTCAACTATTAGTTGAGGTTTATTTCATAAACCAAGTGTGCCATTTTGATTATAAAACAATCTGTTTTACTTTCATTAAATTTTAATTGTCTTTCTCTCTGAATATTAATTCACTAACAAAATATTTTAAAGTCTTAAATTTGATATCTTAAGTCAGTTGACCCTCATTAGTCTAGGAAAGACCTTAAGATATGTTTAGTTTGTTCTTCTTACTCTGAAGTTGGATTATACAAGCTATTGTTGGAGAATTATCATGTTTGTTATTCATTAATATTTTCACTGAAGGAAATTCCACACTTTCTATTGATGTTTAGCAAACCTCAACTTACTCTGCAATGGTCATACCCCTAAAGTATGGTTGAATGTGTGTCATCCAAGCAAACATATCTTTCTCACTTTATCTGCATAATCATACCCAATCTAAATATGGAAAGAAAAATACCTTCACTCTTCTATGCCATTGGTAATGCAGAAATCTCTCGATAGCAACTTTACCTATGTTATAAAGAGAAAAGAATACCCCGGGGCTAGCAAGGGAATCTTTACAGTACAGCAGAATGTTTTTCTTTCTATATTAATACCAAATGGTTTTCTAATTATGGACACGTTTACTTCCTTTTCTCTTCATAGTTTAAATCAAAATTATTATTTTTTATTTGTCACTATTTAATATACAGGCTTGACCCTTCTTCATTCTCAACTAAGCATTCTATGCCTATACCAAGCATGGTGCCATCCTACATGGCAATGACTACTGCTGCCAAAAGGAAACGGAAATTAACAAGGTATGATTAAACATAAACTGGTTTGGTTCTATAATTATGTAAGTTAATCTTTATATGTTATTTTCTATTGCTTTTTTATTTTTTGTAATTAGACTCTCAATTCATGTTTAAGCATACTTAGGGTAAATTGCTCTGAATGGGGTACTGGATTTATATTATCAAAGGGAGATCTTGAAAAACTCAAGTATTTCACTTGATATTTATATAAAATATTTCCTATTTCAGAGTTTTAAAAATAAATTGAAAAGTTTTCTAGCTGCCAAAAATACTTAATTTTAACTTTTCTGGGGTGACAGTTTTTACTTATTTGGTTATTTTTACTTATTTCATTATCCTTTTTAAACATTACCAAATTTCTTACATCATAGAATTACGTTATTTTAATGGATTATGATATATGATTAAAATACAATGAGTGAAGAGACTTTTATTTCTGCCTAAGACAGTATAGCTTGTATCAGACCACCCCACCCATCAAGAACAGTTGTAAAAAGTGCATAAAATAGAACCAACAGCTGCTTGAAGGCAATGGAGAACAACCATTGTAGCCAGGATTGAGAGCCTAAGATCCCAGAGAAAAGGGAAATATGCTATAGATAGCCAGACTTTCTCTGCCTCTGTTTTTTATTTAGCGTTTGCCACTTTATGGCATAAGACATAGAGGCCAAACAGAAAATGGAAACTTAGAGCTATTAGCTGTCTTACTGAACTACGGAATCAAAATTATTCTGTACAGTTTTTGTCCTCAAGGTATTCGCCAAGTACTCAACTTTGTGGAATGAGAGGCTAAGACACCAAGCTGAAAGTAGCTGCTAAGAGGCTAAAGTATTAAGCAGAGTGTTGATGTTCTTATGAGGCTTTCACAGAAAAATTGGAGTTCAGGGATCACCATGAAGAAAAGGCCCTGTTAAACACATCAGGATTTTATTTGAGATCCCTGAAGGGTAGTTCACTAGGAGTAGGGCAGCCCAGAAATAGGCCAGTTCTTGAAAGTCTGAAACAGACCTTAGACCAACTCAATTCTTGATTGGATCAAGGTGATTTATCTTTGCTCTCCTTGCCACAGGAAAATTAAATTACCTCTGGAAGAATATACCATCTGGAGCCTCTATAGTTTTTTTTTTTTTAATATATCAGTGTTTGGCACTTAAACAAAAATTACAAAGTATGCCAGGAAACAGAACCAAATGACTAAAAATTAAGAGAAAAAAGCATCATAGGAGCAGTGATTCATACATGAGGCAGATATTGGGATTATCAGATAGGAATTCAAAAATTTTAACTGTATTGGTTTCAAATACTTTCCCAAAGAACCAGATTCTATTAAAATTAATTAAATGGATATTCTAGAACTGAAAATACAGAATTTACTGAGATAAAGAACTCAATAAATCAATTCAGCAGATTAGGTACAGCAGAAGAGAGTATTAGTGAACTGAAAGATAGATTTGTTTTTTATTTTTTATTTTGTGGGTATGTAGTAGGTGTATATATTATGGGGTGCATGGGATATTTTGATACAAGCATACAATGTGTAATAACCACATCAGTGTAAATGGAGTATCCATCCATTTATCCTTTGTGTTATAAACAATCTAATCATACTCTTAATTATTTTTTAAATGTACAGTGCATTATTGTTGACTGTAGTTACCCTGTTGTGCTATCAAACACTACATCTTATTCATTATATTTAGATTAAACATCCCCCCATTAACCATCCTCCCCAATCTCCTGAAAAACCCTTCCCAGCCTCTGGTAACCATCATTCTACTTTCTGTCTCCATGAGTTCAATTTGTTTAATTTTTAGCTCCCCAAAATAAGTGAGAACATGCCAAGTTTTGTCTTTCTGTACCTGGCTTATTTCACTTAACATAATTACTGTCAGTTCCATCCACGTTGTTGCAAATGACAGGGTCTCATTCTTGTTTCATGGCTGAATGGTACTCCATTGTGTATACGTACCATATTTTTTTTGTCTATTCATCTGTTGATTGGCACTTAGGTTGCTTCCAAATCTTGGCTATTATGCATAGTGTTGCAATAAACATTGTAGTGTTTATATCTTTTCAATATACTGATTTCCTTTCATTTTAGTATGTATCTAGCAGGGGGATTGCTGGATCATATGATGGCACTATTTTTAGTTTTTCGAGGAATCTCCAAACTTTTCTTTATAGTAGTTGTACTAATTTACATCCCCACAAACAGTATACAAGTGTTCCCTTTTCTCCACATCCTCGCCAGTGTTTGTTGTTGCCTGTCTTTTGGGAAAAAAAAAAAAAAAAAAAACATTTTAATTGGGGTGAGATGATATCTCATTGTAGTTTCGATTTACATTTTTCTAATGATCAGTGATACTGAGTTACCTTTTCATATGCTTGTTTGCCATTTATATGTCTTATTTTGAGAAATAAATTTTTTTTTATTTTGCCCATTTTAAAAATCAGATTATTAGATTTTTTTCCTAGAGTTGTTTGAGCTCCTTATATATTATGGTTATTAATCCCTTGTCGGATAGATGGTTTGCAGATGGTTTTCTCTCATTCTGTGAGTTGTCTCTTCACTTTATTGATTGTTTCTTTTACTTTACAGAAGCTTTTTAACTTGATGTGATCCCATTTATCCATTTTTGCTTTGGTTGCCTGTGTGGGGTGTTACTCAAGAAATCTTTGTCCAGTCCAGTGTCCTAGAGAGTTTCCCCAGTGGTTTTTTTTTTTAGCAGTTTCATAGTTTGAGGTCTTAGATTTAAGTTTTTATCCATTTTGATTTGATTTCTGTATATTGCAAGAGATAGGGATCTAGCTTCATTCTTCTGCATATGGATAAACAGTTTTTCCAGCACTGTTTATTGAAGAGACTGTCTTTCCCCCAATGTATGTTCTTGGCAACTTTGTCAAAAACGAGTTTATTGTAAATGTATGGATTTATTTTGGGGCTCTCTATTCTGTTCCACTGATCTATATGTCTGGTTTTATGCCAATCCTGTGCTGTTTTGGTTACTATAGCTCTGTCGTGTAATTTGAAGTTAGATAATGTGATTCCTCCAGTTTTAATCTTTTTGCTCAGGATAGCTTTGGATATTCTGGGTCTTTTGTGGTTCCATATAAATTTTAGGATTGTTTTTTCTATTTCTGTGAAGAATGTCATTGGTATTTTGATAGGGATTGCATTGATTCTGTAGACCACTGTGAGTAGTATGGACATTTTAACAATATTGATTCTTCCAATCCATGAACATAGAATATCTTTTTATTTTTTTGTATCCTCTTTAATTTTTTTACATCAATGTTTTTATAGTTTTCATTATATTTCATTGTAGAGATCTTTTACTTCTTTGGTTAACTCCTATTTTATTTTTAGCTTTTGTAAAAGGGATTACTTTTTTTTTCAAATTATTTCACTGTTTGTTTGTAGAAATGCTACTGGTTTTTCTGTATTGATTTTGTATTTTGCAACTCTACTGAATTTGTTTCTCAGTTCGCATAGTTTTTTGGTGGAGTCTAGGTTTTTCCAAATATATGATAAGATCATGTCATCTGTACACAAGGATAATTTTACTTCTTCATTTCCAATTTGGATGTTCTTTCTTTCTTTTCTTTCTCTTGTCTGATAGCTCTACTTAGGACTTCCAGTACTATGTTAAATAATAAATACTGGTGAAAGTGGGCATCCTTGTCATGTTCCACAACTTAGAGAAAAGGATTTCAGATTTTCTGCATTCAGAATAGTACTAGCTGTGGGTCTGTCATGTATGGCTTTTATTGTGTTGAGATATGTTCCTTCTATACCCAGTTTTTTTAGAGTTTTTATCATAAAGGGATGCTGGATTTTATCAAATGCTTTTTCAGCATCAACTGAAATGATCATATGGTTTTTGTTCTTCATTCTATTGATATGATGTATCACATTGGTTAATTTGTGAGATGGTTATGTTGAACCATCTTGCATCCCTAGCATAAATCCCACTTGGCTGTAATGAATGATTTTTTTGGGTTTGTTATTGGATTCAGTTTGCTAGTATTTTGATAAGGATTTTTGCGTGTGTTCATCAGGGATATTGGCTGGAGTTTTCTTATTTTGATGTGTCCTTTTCTGGTTCTGGTATCAGAGTAATACTGGCCTCATATAATGATTTTGGAAGTATTCCTTCTGCCTCTGTTTTTCAGAATGGTTTGAGTAAGATTGGTATTGGTTCTTTTTTAAATGTTTGGTAAAAGTCAGCAGTGAAGCCATCAAATTCCAAGCTTTTCTTTGCTGGGAGACTTTTTATTATGACTTCGATTTTGTTACTTGTTATTCATCTGTTCAGGTTTTGGAATTTTTTCTGAAAAACAGACTGGTAGGAAAATATCCAAACTGATATGCAGAATGATAAAAAATATGGGAAGAAGTGAAAGAGACATGGGACACAATTTTTAAAAGGCTAGAACGTATGTATTTTGTGTCTCAGAAGGGAATGAGAGAAAGAATAGGGAAAAATAATATTTGAGATGATGGCTAATACTTATTCAAAACTAACAAGACACTAAACCATGGATTTGAGAAGCACTGCAAACCAAAAGCAGGATTAATATAAAGAGAAACATACCTAGGTATATAGTAGTAAAACAACTAAAAAAGATAAGGAAAAATCATAAATATATTAAGTTACATGACTAGAAGTTCATGATACATTCTTTATATACTATAAATTGAATGCAATGACAAAATATACTGAATAAATATAAAATGGATCTGACTTCCTCTACCTCTTTTTCTTTATGTGATCATGGGGAGAAAAGTTTATAGAAGACCTTAAAATGACTCTTTTTAAATGTATTTTCCACCAGGAGCCTGTTATTTAAGCAACAGGAAACGAATTTACAAGTAACCTACTTATTTCTGCTACACAGAGTATCTTCTCATAAGTGAATTTAATATCTGTCTTCGTCCCTCCTAAACAAAGTATAACAGAGACTTGGAATGTGTAAATTTAAAATTTATGGATTTTTTCCTAAATGTCTCATCTATGACATTTAAAATTTTGTATTTGCTAAGGTACAAATTTGATTTGTACAATTAGTCTGGTTTATATACAGAAATCAGTCACTTTATGAGTGAGCCTAGCTAACCACAGTCATCTGTTTTGTCTACTTTTATCACTAATTTGCATAATGTCAGTTTTGTCATTTGTTCCATTAATTAGTTTTAGTGAGTTTTCTTGTCCTTCACTGGTAGTATGTTGTGTTTACTTAGATGTCACAAATGTTTATAGATAAGAATAATTTTTAAATGTGAACTTAGCTATTATAAAATCAAATGGTTTTTCAGGAAATGTCCAGGTATGTGAATTGTGTCTTTGGAGTGATTTTAGATAAGTTAAAGGGCTTCCACATGAACAACTAATATTGTGAAATAATATTAAAGGACATGTAAAGAAAGTAACTTGATTTCTTATAGCCTATTAATTGTTATATTACATTCCCTCTGGTACCAGTAATTAGATCCTGCCATTAACTAAGGTTAAAAGAGATTAATGCTAGAAATGTACATAATTACTTTTTTTAATCTTCCTTTCCCCCAATTAAAGTTACATGAGCTTCAGAGTAATAAACTGTGGTATTTTCCATTTAGCAGCCTTACATACATATTTAGTTGTGTATTTTTCTAATACAGTTTTAAAAATAAAGAAGGGGAAGCTCTCTGTATATTATTTCATTTATTTTGCATAAAATAGCATTAGAGTTTGAAAGCACTGGATATTCCAAAACCTACCCAACAGATTTTTTTAAATAATTGAGAATATTAGATTTTTAATCTTAACAATTTATGTAATATTTCTGTAGCAGACTATTTTACTAAATTGATTAGCCTATCAAATATTTAAATATAATACATACATAATGTTAGCTTTTACTTCTCAATTATATTAATCAGAGTTTTGGATTGTTTGTTTTGTATTTATTTGATTAATTGGTTTCTTGTTTGTTCCACAATCTTTTAAGCACCCCATAGCAGTTTCATACTTGCCATACATTTTTATTTTGTTTTGAAAGATGTCTAATTACTTCAACTAGAAATTATTTCAGACAAAATAGTATAAGAGGTATTATGTTAATTGAGTAGAAACATTCTACCTATATAAGGGAGCAAAAGGTTAGTTCTTCACTTTATTTATAGTTATGGCAATATATTTTGCACACAACTGGAAGTGTCTTTGGATTTCTCAGTACAGTCTTTAACATAATTTGAATTTGCACTCATATCAGTTTTAAGTCTTTGTAGTTTATGACCTAAAACATAAATGTTAAACATTTCATCAATGGACTATTTAACTAAATCGTAAAAATGTTTGGGTATATTTTACTTTTATATAAATACGCAATTTATTAGGGTTGGATTTTATTTCTAGAAATATGAGTTCTAATCAAATAGCTTTATTCAAAAGTCTAATTTTCAAAAAAGAACATGCTATGAGTAAAAAGTAGGGTCCTGGAACTAGCCAAAGTGAATAATCCTACTGTGAAATAATAAAGACAACTTTGGGATAAATTTAAGAAAAAACAATGTTTTATCAAAAGTAACTAATAACATTGATCTTTATATTTGAAAAAATAAAATCACCAAATGATCAAAAAAGAATTTCTGCCTTGGACAGCTGATTTGTACAAAAAAGCATGTTTAATATTCAAAACAGAATCATAGTAATTTATCACCATTTAGGAAGTGGGGACTACTGTAGTTGATATATTATTTGTGCATACAAATTTGTGATTTTACCTTCTTAAACTGTGTATTTTTCATTACTTCCACTGAGTAGTCACCCCTTCTTCAAGTTTTGCTTTCTGTGGTTTCAGTTACCCATGGTCAATTGCAGTTCAAAAATAGGCGATTGTAGTACAATAAGATATTTTAAGAGAGAGAGAGACCACATTCACATAACCTTATTAAATGTATTGTTATAATTGCTCTATTTTATTATTGTTAATCTCTTACTGTGCCTAATTTATAATTTAAACTTTATCATAGATATGTGTAGGAGAATACGTAGTATATATCCTGTTTGGTACTATCCTCGGTTGCAGGCATCCACGGGCAATCTTAGAAGATATCCCCCCTGATGATAAGGTTACTATATAGTATCTTTATTAGTCAGAATTTCCCTCAACTTAGGTTGTTTGAATCAGTGTGGAAGGTTGTTCTTTTTCCACCCAGCGCCCAATCCTACCTGTTAAAAATTGATCCACCTTAGGACTAGGAAGTATTGCTGTTTTTCAGGGCCCAGATCAAACTCATTGCATCCACAAAATTTTCCATTATTCTTTCTTACTCTACACTCAAGAATCTATAGCTCCTTGTATTATGAAAACCTTGGCACTGTATTTTTGCTTTACCTTATATTATTTCAGGTATTCATCTTATTTTTTTCTCATCTCCACTGTATGTCTATTCTATAAGCTTTAGGACAGGAATTTTTGTGCCTTATTTATTTGTATATCCTGTAACACAAGGCCATAATAGGTGTTTAGTAATATGTCAACTCAAATTGAGTAAGAAATTTGAACCATCAGCAGTGTAAGACTGATTAAATTTTTGAAGCTAGAGCAAATGAAAACAGGTCATTCTTTTTATTTCAGTTTCTGTGATTGTAATAATTAGAGATTTTTATTCTGTTACCCTGCTTTCATTTTAAAACAAAGTTTTTCAAACAATCTCACTTGTTTATACCTTTCAGATTAGGGTTCTTGGTCCAAATTTGTAACATGAGCTTAGGTTTTGTTTTTGTTTTTGTTTTTTGTTTTTTGTTTTTTACCTCTTGTGACTATGTGCTACTGATCTCTACATTTTGAATAATAGTGCTTGAGTGCTTGCTTATCTGCCAGCAAAGCACCCTGGAATATTCTGCTACAGAATTGTAACATACACCTACAGTCATAACATTCAATTTGAATAAATATATTAAATATCCAATTTAAAATCACTCACAGCTAAATTTCTCTGTGGGCCAAAAATGTATTTACTACCTCCACTTCTGTGATATTTCACAACTTAATATTTTTGTGTTTTATTTCTTTAATTACTGTTGCATGTAGAATGTGTATTAGAACTTTGAGAGATAAAAAAAAGTGCTTAACTAAATTAAAAACTTTTCCCCTCAAGTTCTACATCAAACACTTCGTTAACTGCAGACATAAATTCTGGATTTGCCAAACGTGTTCGACAAGATAATTCAAGCGATAAGCACTTACAAGAAAACAAACCAACAATGGGTATGTCTCAGCTTTTAATTTGATATTTAATGGTATGACTATGCAACACACTTATAGTACTTTACATTTTTTATTGTGTTTTCGTAAGAATCTCCCTTTATTCATCACCTTTACTATATGGTAGAACAAGTATGATTATCCACATGTTATAGATAAGGAAACTTTAAAACACAAAAAGCATTTACCCAAGATCACACAGATACTACATTGGAGGAACCAAAACTCAAGAACCAGATCTTACAGCTCTACATTATACACCCTTTTAGTTATCCCTACTGCCTCATAATAATTGAAGTAATTGGCTAAATGTATTATTTAATGTTACTAATTAAGTATATTTTACAGATAAACTATACCCACGTTAAATTTTTCTCTTAGCGTAATATTTTGAATAATTTGGCCTCTAACTCAATGTATAACTACTTCACATATTCCAGTCTATATCTAGTTATAGTCATATTGTAACTCCCATTGGCAAGTTGGAAAAGATACTGATGGATCTTTCCCATCAGTTTGAAAGATACTACATTCCATCAACCACATATGGGAGTGACATGAGTTCATGATAACAAAACCACTTCAGTTAAACTAGTGGTATATATCATGCCAGCCAGTTTCCAGGCCCCAGCATCTAGACTTCTGTCTCTCTGATACTACAGTTCCTAAGACTTCATTCAGAAACTATTTATTTACTAGGCATTTACCATGTCTTGTAATGAATACAGAGAGCAGTAAGACATAGTTTGATTGTTCTCTGTAGGAACTTATAATTATAGCAGATGCAATTTAAAGGTGTCTCATGATACAATGTTTCTAAGAATAACAAGAAAGCTATTGTTACTTTTTTCTGTCAATGTCCTTAGATTAGAGTAATATAAAATTCCTCAGTAACTTTGTCAACCTGTATTGGTAAATGCTTGCTTCCTGTAGTAGCCAGTGTTTACCTTAAGTTCAATGGAAATTGAAACATCAGACAGCAAATTGAAACATCAGACAGTAAGGTAGTAAAGTATAAAATTTGCCTTGATTATTTGGTTTGACATGTTGTACTTAATAATGCTTAAAAATGTGTATCTGTAGTTAGTGTAGATGTGTACTGCCCCATTGATCTTCTGAAAAAGTTCTTCAAGAATCATAATTCTACAGCCAAATAATAAATTTATAAAAACTCTCAAATCATAGAAATTGGATTTTTCTAATATGCTTATTATCTGAAGATACAAATGCATCAAATATCTCATGTATAAAGAGAAGTGAGTAAAAATATCAACTACGGGGAAAAAAAAAGTGGGAGATGATACTAAACCACAATGCTTGCCAAAGAGGTATTCGTTTGTAAGGAAAGATATTTTATATACATTATAATGTTCAAGTGAAAATGCCCAAATGCACAGCAGAAAAAAGTGAGAATTGAGACTGCCTTCCTTAGAACGTATTAAGCCAAGTTTTCTAACAAACAATGTACCAATGTACAAATAAAGAAACATACAACCATCAGTAGGGAAAAAGGCAACTCCTGTTAACTGAGCAATTAGAGAAATAAGAAACACAGTGTTAAGCAAATATGTCCATCTAAAACTCAAACCTAATGTGGCCCAGAAAGTGGATAAGCAATTAAACTGATCCTGAAAATAGTCAATGGCACCTTGTTGTAACAACACGTTGTTGAGTAGAAAATGATGGGGAAAGCTAATGAAGAACCAGAAGAATGGGCATAAATAGAACATACTTGAGAGGTGGCAGTAGGGAAGAGCTACAGGATTAAGATCAGCCCTTTAGGAAGTACTAGATGCAAATGATAATTTTAAATTGAAAAAGTATGGAAGTTTAAATCCCTGGGGAAATAATCCAAGGAATGAGAAAAAAATGGTGATACAGCAAAGAAAGGAAGAAATGCTTGTAGAAATGGTCTTTTATTAGTCAGAAAGAAAGAAAGTGAACATAGTAATTAATTCAATGACTTCACCTGATGTCTGTGTATGTGCACACACTCACTGAAACTTCAGTTTGCAATATGAATTTGAACCGCTTTTAAAAACCAAAGGTATTAATGTCTCTTTGTTGTTGTTGTATTTTAAATTATGTTAACTAACAACTATGAATTTCAAGAGTAAATTTTTCTTTCTATGGTTATGATTTTTATAAGTTGAATGATGAAAACTTTTTGAATGATACTTATGCCATATTTATGCATCTTTTTATTTCTTCTCTAGAACATAAAAGAAACATCTGTAAAGTAAATCCAAGCTTGGTTAGAAAATTTGGAAGAAATATTTCAAAAGGAAATCTAAGATAAATCACTTCAAAACCATGCAAAATGAAGTTGATCAAATCTGCTTTTCAAAGTTTATCAGTACCTTTTCAAAAATATATTTAAAATCTTTGAAAGAAGACCCATCTTAAAGCTAAGTTTACCCAAATACTTTCAGCAAGCAGAAAAATGAAACTCTTTGTTTTCTTCTTTTGTATTCTAAAAAAATAAAACTCCAAAAGAAAAGGTTGTCTTTTAAGTTTTTTAAATATTTATTGCCTTTTAAAATCCCTGAGTGTAAGTTACCATGGTGGCAGCTTAGTTTTACTATGCTACAACAAGTTGACTAGGACATTTTAGTAAATGGTAGTGAGTTAAATTATCTTTATTATTTTTTGAAAATAAGAATTTAGAAGTGGTAAAATTATGGCCCAAGATGTATTTGGCTCGCTATTATGTTTCAATACATTGTTTTAATCATATATATGACTTTCCTTTTCAAAAGTAATGTACGAGTGTCGATATATGTGCCCATAAAATCATTGTAAATATTATTTAAGTAGTCATCACAAATAAAATATTGTTCTTGCTACTTGATATATTAAAGATGTAGATTTTAAAGTGTTTCATTTTCTTGTCTCATTACTACCCCTTACATACTCTAAACCAATGGTCCCCAATCTTTTTGGCACCAGGGACCAGTTTTGTGGAAGACAAAACCACAGACTGAGAGTCGGGGGATGGTTTCAGGATGATTCAAGCACTTTACATTTATTGTGCACTTTGTTTCTATTATTATTACATTATATATT